GTGATCCGCCCGTCTCGGCCTCCCAAAGTGCTGGGATTACAGGCTTGAGCCACCACGCCCGGCCTTATTTTTATTTTTGAGAAGGAGTCTCACTCTGTCACCCAGGCTGGAGTGCAGTGGCGTGATCTCAGCTCCCTGCATCCTCTGCCTCCCAGGTTCAAGTGATTCTCCCACCAGAGCTTCTTGAGTAGCGAGTTACAGGTGCCCGCCACTGTGCCTGGCTAATTTTTGTATTTTTAGTAGGGATGGGGTTTCACCGTGTTCGCTGGCCAGGCTGGTCTTGAACTCCTAATCTCAGGTGATCCTCCTACCTCAGCCTCCCAAAGTACTGGGATTACAGGCTGAGCCACCACGCCCAGCCTTTTATGTTTTTAGAGACAGTTCGGCTGTATCGCCCAGGCTGGAGTGCAGTGGTGCTATCATAGCTCACTGCAGCCTCAAAACTTCTAGGCTTAAGTGATCTTCCCACTTTAGCCTCCCAGGTAGCTAATGCCACCACACCTGGCTAATATTTTTTTGTAGAGACAGGGTCTCACAAAAAGACTCCTGGCTTCCAGTGAGACCCCTGCTTCAGCCTCCAAAGTGCTGGGATTATAACTAGCCACATTTCAAGTGTGTTCAGTAGCCACATGTGGCTAGTGGTTACCATAAAGGATAGCACAGGGGGCTAGGACACTTCTATCATTGCAGAGCATTCTATGGGGCACACTGATAGAGACTAAAAGTGGCCCAACAGAAACAAGAATTCATAAGTTATTTTTAAAACAAATAGATTGCTTATTTGCAAGTTAAACAGTCTTTCAGCACTGAGGAAAGATACTGCATTAGCACCCTATGGGACGCTGAGATGATTAAAGATGTAGTCCCAGCCAGGCGCGGTGGCTCACACCTGGAATCTGAGCACTGTGGAAGGCCAAGGTGGGCAGATCACCAGAGGTCAGGAGTTCGAGACCAGCCTGGTCAACATGGTGAAACCCCGTCTCTACTAAAAATACAAAAATTAGCCGGGTGTGGTGGCACACGCCTGTAGTCCCAGCTACTCGGGAGGCTGAGGCAGGAGAATCGTTTGAACCTGGGAGGTAGAGGTTGCAGAGAGTCGAGATCGCACCACTATTCCAGCCTGGGTGACAGAGTGAGGCTCTGTTACCAAAAATAATTAAAAAAAAAAAAAAAAAGACGTAATCCCTAGTCCTCCAGGTGTTTTCTGGTGGGGGAGATAGACCTGTGCACAGGTACCCACAACCCAAGGCAGACACGAGTGGTGCTTTATGAAAGGTACAAAGAGAGTTATTGCAGAGGTGACTGGGAAAGCCTTGTGAAGGGATTAGAATTCTAGTGGGGACAGGTAAAGAGATTTGATTTTGTGGGTACTCTAGGTGCCAGAAACAGCCCAAGGAAAGGTCCAGGTGGTGGATTTGTGGTGAGGGATCACAAGCAGCTTGGGGCATAAGGCTGGAAAAGATGACACTGGTCCCATGAGTGACAAGTTCAGAAGACTGGAGTTCATTTGCTGGGCAATGTGAAACACTTAAAGGTTTTGAGGCCGACATCCAGGCCACTGACATCCAGGCCACTAATAAGTCCAAGTGTCCTGTTTTCCTTTTCTTTCTTTCTTTCTTTTTTTTTAAACGGAGTTTCACTCTTGTTGCCCAGGCTGGAGTGCAATGGCATGATCTTGGCTCACTGCCTCTGCCTCCTGGGTTCAAGGAATTCTCCTGCCTCAACCTCCCGAGTAGCTGGGATTACAGGTGCCCGTCGCCACGCCTGGCTAATATTTTGTATTTTTAGTAAAGACATGGTTTCACCATGTTGGTCAGGCTGGTCTCGAACTCGTGACTTCAGGTGATCCTTGGCCTCCCAAAGTGCTGGGATTACAAGCATGAGCCACTGCGCCCAGCCAAGTGTCCTGTTTTTCTTGGGGAGCGAAGCTTGATCCAGCTCATTCCAGTCTTTAGT